AATCTTAGTTTAGTTTAAACTTTGTTCATTCAAGAAAGAGAAATAAAAATAGGCATTCTACACAGATGCGGCCTAGGCCATTTATATCAGAGAAAACTGACATGGCAAAATGATATAAGCTATTACTGATCAAAAGCACGAAAAATAAGAGGTAAAAGAAGAAAAAAATAATCAAAAAATCTTCTTCGCGAGGTCTGTCGTGTAAAAAGTTTGCGATTCTGTTCATAGGTAGGACACTTCAGGAAAAAATGTTTCGAGTCCTGTACTACACTAGTGCTAGGGTTTTAGCTTCAAATTTAAGTGTGTATGATGATGTTGTTTGACCGTCATCGACTCAAACAATATTGAATGATCCATCAACAAATGGTACAGGAGTTATGCCTGAGAGACGAAATTTTATTTCTAAAGTGGCTTTAATCATTAAAAAGTCATCAACAACGGTCGATGGACAACAAAATGGAAATAACGATCAAAATCAGGTAATCTAACGATATATTTCACGAAAAAGAGGCTATAATAGCGGGTGATCCAGATATAAGGGGTGAGTTTTTGTTTTCGGTTCTTCTCCATATAGTCTCAACCTTTCGGGAATTTTTTTAATCAAAAGAAAATACTCGCGAAATACTCTACAGAACCATATCTAAACTTGGATTTCAGAACTTCAATCAAGAAAACTAAGCAAATTAGACGAAAGGCGGAAAAAAGTGAAAACTTTCTAAAATCAAAAACGATTTCTTGAGTGAACGATTCGAAAGTAAGAAAAACTGAGTTAACCATTTTCTAGCCCTGACATCACTCTATCTTTTAGCTACACTTCAAATTTTTTCACATCAAAGTCCATGATGAAATAATAGGTTTTCTGTCAATTGTCGCATATTTCTTCATTCATTTTTTAAATTCTGCGTATGATTGTGCTTTCAGTAAAAGTTCTGTAACTTCATTAAAACAAAAGATTTTTTGATTGGATTTGTTTTTCTTTGATCAGAAATAATTGCTCTTCTCTACGTAACTGCAAAATCAAAGCTTCGATCATGTTTTCCATTTCTTGCTTGAGTACTTTGCTGGAAACGAGAGGTTGTCAATTTTTGACGTATTTTTGAAACTTTGATCTTGAGCGCACCTTCTGCTCTAAAAAAATGTGTTTATAGAACACGAGAAAGAGCACATACGAAAGTACAAAACAAACTGAGTTCTCACATTTGTAACACTTTTTTACTGAAGTAATAGCAGAAGAAAAAAGTTCAGGTCGAAAAAATACCAATGTAACAAAGTTTTCATTTTTTTTCGCCTTTTCGTCTGATTTGTGTAGTTTTCTTGATTTAAGTTCTAAAACTCAAGTTTAGGTATGGTTCTATAGAGTATTTTGCGGCTCATCTTATGATTAAAAAGAATTCGCTACAAGTTGAGACTGTATGGAGAAGAACAGAAAACAAAAAAATACCCATTGTATCTGAACGATATTTCTTCGCGCTCGCCTCCAAATGGATTCTGCATAGTGTTCTATACCTTCAATGCAAGATTGTTATTGAAATGTAGATAATTTTTGATCATCTGTCAGTTGAAATATTGTTCACTTCATATGTCTCATTTATTTACAATATTTTGTTTTTACTACTTTTAGCCCAAAATTGTTCAAATATCTACTGAAAATTTACCATTATTCAATAAAGTATTTACACCTTCTTTAACTACTACAATGGCTTCTACTGTAGAGACAAAGCCGATCGATGATCAATTATCGTCTGCATCATCTTTGCCTCGCCCAATTTCTCCATGAAAACGATAATCAATTCGATGATTCTCAAGAACAACCACCAACAAAAAAATTAAAAAGTTAAATAGTCTCTTTCGTTATATGTATATGTTTGTTTTGTAAATAATCGTTGTTTCTAGATATGTGTATGTGTATATCTATTGTCTTTTTTTTTAAAGTTGTCCCTTGATATGAAACTGTACGGTTTGGTTTCGAGTTATCCACGTGACGACAAATAAAAACTCATATGGACATCTACAGAACCTGGTGATAACTGTCGACTAAGATTGTCAGGTCATATCGAGTTCATAACAGAGTCAGGTCGTGAAACAGATTAATCTGTATAGAATTAATTTCTTCTAGCATCTTCTGATAAAACTCACTTCTTCATTAGAATTTTCTACTTCATCGTCCTTTCCCTTTTCAATTCTATCGAATAAACCTATGGAAACTTAGCATTACTTCTCCACTTGTTGAACTGGCATTGAGATTTATTACATAGAAAGCCACTACTTGGCATCGAACTTAAAGTACGAGCATTAAGGAATAAACGCAATAATACGCCTTTAAAAAGTCTTCTAGAATATCCATCGATACAATCTCCATAGCAGATGTAAATAGTGTGCATGATTTCGACGAGTGAATTGAACTAGCAATAGAAACCAATCTTCAATGTCAATAGAGGCGAATATCTATATTTTAATGTGAGTTCACACTAAACGACAATTATAAAGAATTTAGTTTGAATTAACATTAAAGCAAGGTGTTCTTTCAGGCTGACTTTTACAGTAAAAGTGTCGATAGAGCAGATTAACATTAATACAAAGAATAAAACTACCAAAAAGACAAATTGGGTAGTATTAGCTTAGGTTATAATGAAAAAATAATCGAAGATAATATTAATTTATTCTTGGCTGTCTACTATCAAATCTCCTACAGTATTTCTTCGAGTTGGTATAGCTATTATACGTATTTTTCCTAAAGTGTTTTTTACAAAACTCCACCAACTTTTTGAGGAAGCAGAGATTTTTTCATTTATTCTTTTATAATACTTTGTTTTTATAAGAACACATTCTTCTTTGAATTTATTTACTGCCTCCGTATACAACTGCAGATAATATAAAGATATTTTACTCTGTCTAAATAATTTACATTTCTTTTTATAGAGAACAGATAATTTTTCTGTAAACCAAAGTTTATCTCTAGATTCAATCTTTACAACACGATTCGGTACAAATTTATTCAAATGCTCAATAAAAATTTCTTCGAAAGCTTTTTACCCTCTCACTCAAACTATTATACTTCTTAGAAATTGATTAATTGATATTTTTAAAAAACTATTATTATTATGATGATTGCTATACTATATTCATCATTAAGTAAATACTGTTCTCTGCACCGTATGTATGGGTTTGCAGAGCATTTCTATGTGCAAAGTTAATGAATCTATTCTCAATAGAGTTCTATCGTAGACCGTAAATTCTTTATCTAACATATGACAAGATGCACATACATCCCGATCTTGTCATATGTGATAAATAATGAATCATATAGGATAGCAATCATCATAGGATGTAAACGAATGTATGCTTATCTTTGGTGCACCTATGACTAAGCTGATACCTACACAGGTCAACATAATGGAACAAAGCCTGTCAGTGTTACTCCTATGCAGCAAAAAGTGTGAAAACTTTTGTCATCTTTACTAGGGACAGCAAGCCTTCTAGCAAAAATACTGACATGACTATATTTCTACTATATTCTAGCACAATTAACTTTACTAGATGTTGCTGAAAAAACACTATTTCAACTCAGAAATATACTTACTTTTATAACCGTTTAACAGACGAATAAACCGATATATAAACTTTTAACAGACAAACTGGGTGATATTAGACGATTAAGTAAATTAAATGGATATCCACCGACGTTTATTGATACTTTAATTGGAAAACTGATAAATAAACATTTGATCAAAACTGATATCATTGAAAAAACGGAAAATAATTTACCCCCAAAACGGCTGGTTGTCGATATTCCGTATATTCAACAAGCGTCGAAAGTTTTGAGTCGAAAATTAAAAAAATTCACAGAAACTATTAAATCTGATATTGATTTAAAAGTTATTTTGAGGTCACCTAAATCCGTAGGCAGTTTTTTTTCCAAAACAAAGATAAAATACAAAAACTGTTACAATCAAATCTGGTCTATGACATTAATTGCAAAGACTGTGATGATAACTATGTCGGTAAAACAATTCGACAATCAGTAAGACGTTTATTTGAACATAATGCGTCTAAAAGTGTCGGAAGTTTTGACCAGCTATCAAATGCTTCATCTGTCGACAATACTACCGACATTATTTCCGTTTCTAAGTTATCTTCTGCTATGTGTTCTCAAATAGCAACTCTAAATGCTTCTCAAAGAAAGTCTAAAAATGTTAAAAATCGTTTTTCACCTTATCAAGATGAATCTACTTTAAGACGTTCTTCTCGACTTGCCAACAAACAGCTTATAACAAATAAATAAGACGATGATGAGACAGCTGGCGAGATAGAGACAGGATTATCTGACGTAGCAATTTCTCAGCAAAATTTAAAGTCAGCGCTTCTGATACCCATCATACTGTTAATTGAAAAGAGTTTAAAATTTTATCAACGAATTCAAACTGTTATCGGTTACTAATTAAAGAATCTTTAATAATATTAGGATGTCAGCCAAAATTAAATAACACAGTACGTTCAGTTCCCCTTTTCATATATCCCAATGGAATTTCCAAAAAATTGTTACCCGATCTAGGAGGATAATTCATCGTTTTAACAAAATAACATCTCAAGGCATTTTTGACCTTGTGTACGGCATAGTCTGTTCATGTTTCTCGATTTTACAAAACTTGTTTTTCTCTCTCTTACAAAGAATGTCTATTTTTCTCTCTCGTACTACAAAAAATGTATTTTACTCTCTATGTTTAGTTATTCAGTCATATTCATTTTAACTTTACATCGTGTTAATCGTCTCTATTGTCTTGATAATGAAAATTACAATTTCCGAAACGTCGACTTTATTTTTATAAAAAGGTTTATTTTAACAAAAAATCAAAAATTTTTAATTTTATTTTTTATTAAATAAAGATGAATCTAAAAGCAGCTGCTGTTACTATCTTATCAATTATAAACGTTTAGTTAATCATAATTTTATTTCATCCCATTCGAATATTTCTCCGTCTTCTTTTTTCCGATTCATCATGTTAACGAGCACACGTTAATTTTTCTGCTTCTGAACAATCTTGTGCAAAATGTATTCCAATATCACCATTTGATCCTAATACTCCAAAGCAACAAGCCTTTACTGATCCAAATTGATTCGATAGTAAAAACTTCTGATTTAGTTTTTTAACCATACAATCAGCTGGATATTGATATTTCACATTAGCCAAGGTCATATGAAATTTTTCTATTCTTGGTTGTTTTATTGTGACACCAGCTGTTTGAATAGCAGATTCTAAACCATGCACGAAATTCCACATTTTGTTTGATGATGTTTGATCAACGTCAGCTACAATATATGTTTGAACAGTATCAGTGCCACATGAAACATTTTTTATTGTAATTTCAAAACTCGACCATTGATAATTCGCTAACACTTGTTTGATAGTGTTAATCTCTTGATCACTGTAACAAGTGAAATAATTAAGTGTAGAATGAAGTGTTATCAGTGATTGCAGTTGTGTAATAGTTGATGAATCATCAACGTCATATTGAATACTTGTTTGAGCTAACTTTGCGTTGGCTGTCAATATTGGATCGAGAATCAAAGGGACAAATGTTGTTAGAACAATTTGTGAGCCAGTTGGACAAACTTGTTCAGGATTCGACGGATAACTATAGGGATCCCAACTACATGTGGAATATGGTGAGTGCAATGTTACATTTGGTACATAAACAACTGGTGACTGTCCGACAGGAATTTGATAAGGAGCAGTTGCTGAATAATCATTGGCACATTTATTAACTGAAACAAAATTCTATGTTAATATCGGAATGCAAATCCTGGTGGGAACAGAATTTTCGCCAATATTCTCATCATCAAACTTTCATCTGTTACAAAAAATATCTGTTTTTATACAAGTTTCATACGTGAATAAAGCAAAAAATATGTATCTGTCCTTGAGCCTGTTTGAAACCAAAATTGTTTCTTCAAACACTAATAATTCAGCTATAATAACCAGCTATTAGCTGGTTTTTATAACGAATGATTACTTTACGCAATCGCAATACTATGAGTGTCATCGTTAGTTTTTATTGCCTTTGCTGGTTGTTAGATGCCTGTTGTTTGTTCCGGAAATACGTTAAACAGACAGTTCTAGCATTTTGAAGTAGTTGTGCTTCCGTAGATTTTCATCTTCAAATTTTTTATTAATACAAGATCAGAGGGTAAACATTTCGCTACAAAATAAGATGCTCTGCGGCTCTGCACATTTCTTATTTACTGAACTAGAATATTTCTTGTAATCCCAAAACGACTTAAATAACTGGTGCGATCTAGATAGCCGCCACGTGTTTCTAGACTCCCATTGCATAACAAGGTTTAAGATACTAGCGGAACGACTCTCTTCATAATACTGGGTACGTTCGAAGCCTACCAACCGTGTTTAATTAAGAAAAGTGTGTCTGAGTTTGGGTAAAACATGCGAATGCGTCGGTTATTTGATTTTCTTTGGTTTACATGGTTTAACTAGTAGACATCTTCAAGGACCCATGCTACCTCGGTTTTTCGCGTAGTTATCAGTTGTTTTGTTTGCCATTAGGCGATTTTAAACAATCAATAATCTTATAGCTTATCTACAATTATCTATAATCTATTCGATTCGTAGAATATAAATATGATTTTTGCGTTTGTGAAAAGTCCTAGATCGGCAATAAAGATTAGGTCCTCGCTGTGCGTCTCTCGAAATCGCGGTGTCGATAATTGTTGAACTTTTGTGAACCTTTTTCCTGTCTATGCCAGAAGAAGAATGAAAGAAAATATCTGAAAAATCGCAATTTCTTTCCTAACAAAAAAATGCTATAGGTGGATAGTATTATGCTGTCCTTAGATGCAGCTGTCCGACTGTGAAATGATTTTCCTTTTTAAGAATATGGTGAACTTTTTCTGAAGTCTCAGTGTAGTTTCGTGTACTTACAGAGTAATCGTTTTTGTCTGTGAAGTTTACTATCTTCCATTGGAGATAAGTTTTGGTTTTTCATGCGACGTTTTCTGATTTCACCATTTGATACACAGACTAATAAGATCAACCAAATGTAGATTGTGAGATGAGACATACTGTGTAATTTGTGCACAAATTTTGGCACTATGTTTAGTGCCAAAAGAAGTGGAAAAATTGTTTGTCTTTTATAGTATTATTCTTATCTTGTTGTTTTGCAGAGAAATAAATATTTAAAAGAATGTCATATGAATTTACAGCACTTGAAGAACACTAATAATTTCTGTTGATCTATCAGAGAATAAATTAAGATTGAGAATAAAACTCGACAATAAAAATAAAACTCATAAAAAAAAATAAAGCTATAGCTGAATGTGTGTATCCCATGGAGAAATTTTGTCAAAGGTTCATGATATTGGAGGTCATGCTGTTTCAACATCAAATGCGTGATCGCTTATGAACTTTTTATAATTTCACACGCGTTCACAACCGAGAATTTCTTTTCACCTGTGTCCACAAACCATTTTACCACTTTCACTGGTGACTATGAGGGCTGCGCGATTACAATTACAAAATGTAAAGTTCATACATTGCTATTATCTGTAGAATTAAGAATTCTAGAATTCTGAACTTTACATACATGTAAAGTTGCTTATTCACACTCATCCTCACCCTCACCCCCACATTCACCCCAAGAATTCAGAATTTTAGAAAATTCTGAACAAGTAAAGTTGAACTTTACATACATGTAAAGTTCATAATTCTAGAATTCTTAATTCTACAGGTAATAGCAATGTTTGAACTTTACATTTTGTAATTGTAATCGCGCACGTCTGGTGACTATGTGTGAAAAATATGATGTGAAAAGTTTTCGTGAACAGTTCACATGTCGTCACAAGTGGGATAACTTTTTCACGCCTGTTCACACACCATTTTACAATGTTAACGTGCGATCACAGTTCATTTCACGATATTCACGGGTATATACGCCGTTGTATATACTAAAATTTCCTTAAATACTAGAATGTGTAAATCAATAAAAATGCATTTGACTTTTGTCTGAAATCCTAATCTTTATTATGAATTTCAAATTTTAACTTTTCAGGTAGTTTCATTTCTGAGGTATGAATTTTTGAGTATATATTCTTAATTTTTACTCCAAAACACGATTCCTCATACGATCTTCTGACAGTTTATTAAGTTATTTGAATAATTAAATAGTTCGCAGATCAGTAATTAAAGGCTTTCCTGCCTAAAATCTATTTTGGTCAAAAGAGATTGGATCACGTGCTCCTAGGAGCATGCATATACAGTTTTTTCTTTTATATCAGTTTATGTTTATTGCGAACTTTTCTAGTTTATCTCAATTTTATTCTCCAGTAGATCAATAAAAACTATTACGTTTCTTCAACTGCTATGTTTCTGTCAAGTGTTAAGTAAATTCGCGTGAAACTGTTTTATTATTATATTTATTCCTCTACAAGAGAATGAGATCATAATAACACCAATAACACTGAAAAAATGTACCCCTGGTATTATTATTATATAGGTTATTTTTGAGAGGCCTGGTTGACCTCTTACGAGGGAACCTCTTACGAGGGAACCTCTTGAGGTTATAAATCGCTTTTGAACTCGGACTACTTGTATCTTGTAGACCTCAGTAATAGTGAAATACCCTAAGTTGGTTCATCCCCATGGTGCTTTGTTGCTGAGATATTGAATTTTTAGTCAGTTTTTGCCTATAGAGCTTGGATTTCGAGCAAAATCCGACTTTCGAATTTTGACTTGAAA